GGATATGAGCCATGCTCTAAGAGGTATCTCACAGTGGGGCTGAGTCCACAGCAGTAACCCACGCCCTAACATGCACTTGATTGTCTTCTCTCTCCTCCCTGCTCCCTTCCTCGAGATCACTCCCAAATAACGTCCGTGCACCCAGGGGCTCGTCTCAGCCCTGCTTCTGTGAGCACCCAGACTGAGAGAAGGGATTCTAAAGGAACTCATCCTTAGGAAAAGGAAACAGTGTCCACAATGACCACAGCTGCTTCCTTCTTTTCAGTGACATCAATCCATATAATGGCAGATGACGCTGGCTATGTGGATCTCTGAAAAGTTCCAGGACAGTCAATGGCATTTCTAATACATATTCAAGAGGAGAAACTCAAAGACCCAAAGTAGAAGCCTTTGTTTGAACCAACAAATTTCTAATCATAGCAAACAGTCTCCTGACTTCCTTTAAATGGGATTACTTGTAACAAGTTTAAATTCTATGAATAATAAATTAGGAGGCTCTAGTATGTCCCTGAAAATTCCACTAAATTTTCTACAAATGCAAAATGGATATATGTCTTTGAGATACTTCCCATGGCTAAAAAAAAAAAATCCCATATTGAAATTATCATATGTATTTCAGGCACTGCTCTTTGGGGGTTCCTCCCCAGCTCTGAATGGGATCTCACTTAAATTCTTCTTCTTCTTCTTTTATTTATTTATTTATTTTATTTATTTGTGCAGAGGAAAATTAGCCCTGAGCTAATCTGAGGAAGATGTGCCAATCTTCTTCCACTTTACATGTGGGTCACCATCACAGCACTGCTGACAAGTGGTCTAGGTCCCCGCCTGGGATCTGAACCCACAAACCCAGGCCACTGAAGCAGAGTGCCGAACTTAACCAGTATGCCACTGGGCTGGCCCCCTTAAATTCTTTTTATCACCTCAAATGGAAATTTCTAGATTCCAAAACCAGTGAGCTGTCACAAGTTTCCTCTCACCACTACTCCCTCTCAAATGCCACATCTGGATGTGGTTCCCATGCTTTCAGTCCCCTGCATGAAGGCAGGGACCTTCCACATCATGAGCTCCAGCGGGCAAGTCTCACTCAGTGACAAGGAGTCGGGGTTGTGGGGAACGGACTGAGAGAGCATTGCCCTTTCATATTCCTTTTCTGAGACAAGAAGATAGGCTTGGGGTAAAATATAATTACATTCTCATACTTGGTGAAATACAAGGTAAAAGCTCATTACAACTTCCCTTGTCTTTATTTGTACCGAGAAGCAAAACCACTTCTCCTTAATACACACAGTGAGGTCTCATCTGAAAAGCCTGACAGAGGGACCTCAAGCAGGGGTTTGCATATGTTCATGCAAATCCCCACCCTCTCATCCCCTCTCCCCGCTCTCCTTTTCTCCTCAGCATTTCTGTCCATCCATGACCCACCGCATACGCTACGTATTATTCTTGTTTCTTATCTGACTCCCCCGCTAGAATAGAAGCACCATGAGCACAGGCATCTTGCCTGTTTCACCCCCCGTTGCATCTCAACAGTGCCTGATGAACAGTTGCTGTCTTTAGTAGGATTGTCTGGAAATTACACAAAACCTTGGGAGCAGGTGGTTTATTTGGGAGGTGATCCCAGATAGCAGGAGTGAGGAAATGAGAAGAATAAGACAGGGAGGAGGACAAGCCAACTAAAGGGGTGTTATCAAGGTCATTGCTGCAGGCAAATGACCTTTGAGAAGCTCCCAAAAGCTCCTGGAATAGTCTATTAAGAGAGTAGGAAACTGGGATTTCCACTGGTTGAAGATTGTTCTCCAGAGAGTTAAGACCCTTGAACTTCCAGGGTGAACCTCTGCGGGGGCTGAACTTTGAAGCAGAGAAGTGCAGAGCAGTGCTCTCGAAGCTTGAGGTGTGGATGCTATCTGAGAGCTCAAAATTGCCCGGCTCAGCTGCAGTTAGAGTCAGAGGTGGGATGCGTAGCTGAGGTGAAGGCATCAAAAGCACCTGCCTCAGGAGGTATTAAGCAAATTGTTTTTAGTGAATGAACGGATTCTCCTTACTGCAGATACGCATATGCGTTACAGGAAAAGCGCAGCCCCAGTCTTGTCTTGCTTTAGAACAACAGTCAGAGTTATTAGTACCCGTGACCCCTTAAGAAGGAAAATTTGTTACTATGGCCAAGGAGTTCAGACCCCTTTTGACTTTTTATTTTCCCAGAGGGTGTTCTATAACACATCCCTGCTCAGAATTCTCATTCCTGAAGGGAAAGTGGCTACAACTTTATAGCAAATTTAAAAAATCCACCGCACGAGCCCTTTTTCCAGCTTCTGATAATCCTTATTACCTTTGGCTTCTTCTTGTGGCATTTATTCTCCGGCCTCTTGGCCACTCACTCTCTGGTTCTTTACCAGCTCCATTTCCTCCACTCACACCTTCTTGCCGTCACTCCTCAGGGTCTGCCCAGAGGAGCCCCCCACCCGTACTAACTGCTTTTCTGGCACTCCCTACAACTCGCAGGCTGGCAGCCACCACCCACACGTCAAAGACTCTGGTGGGCACTTCCAGTGCCCCTCTGTCCTGAGCTCAGCTTCCCAACCTCCCCCTGGACCATCCACATACAAACAATGAGCTCAATCCCATGTTAGACTCATTAACTACCCCGCTCCCATACCCCAAACCTGCTTTTCCTCCTGAATTTCCTGTCTTGGGTAATATTCCACCACCCACCCTTGTCTCCCAACCTGGAACCTCAAGGTCAGCCTCAGTCACCGGGTCTCATCGCCTCTGCCTGTTTCTTGAACACCAAGAGGTTAATAATAGTGGCTGTCCATGAATGACAGAAGTTTTCTTCTTTTCTTTCCTTTTATTTATTTTCTGAATGTCCTCTGATGAACACATTATTTTCATAATGTTTATTATGTTTCATAATGGCTTATTTTCCTAAATAAAAATCGTCTTGATTTCTCCTGCACCACTCCATCCCCAACGCCCTCTTAACCAGTCCCTGACTTACAGTCTCTCTCTTCTTGGAACACCTTCCACATCACAACCAGACTCATCTTTCTAAAACTGGAACCTCATTCCTTCGCTCCCCTCATCAAAACAGTTTCTCTGGGATCATCTCCCACCACCTCCACCCCCATAGTTCCTAAATATGCCAGAATCACCTAGGGGTGTTTGTTCACTAGTTTAATTTGTTCCCCCATCATATAGTGAGCCCTTGTTCATCCGCATCCCCAGTGCCTAGCACAAAGCAAGTGTTCTATAAATATTCATCAGATGGATGGAGGGAAGGGAGTTAGGTAACTGGCCTTCAGTAGGGAAGTTCTACAGCAGTGGTTCTCAAAGTGTCATCAGGGGACCAGCGGCAGCATCACCCAGAAGCTGTTAGAAATGCAGATTCTTGGACCCCACCCCAGACCTGCCGAATCAGAAACTCTGCGGATGTTTGAAGAAGCCCTTTAGGTGAGTCTACTCCATAGCAAGTTTGCTTCTAGACATGTCTTGGCCATGGTCACAAATAACACGTTTCCCCAACCGAACTGCACAAACCTTAGCAGGCTAGTGGCAAAACCACAAGAAAGCGTTTTGATCTGCTGCTGTTTCAAAAGTGGAGCTTCTAGCTCGCAGAAACGCTGCAACCTCTCGGCTTTAGAGAAGGGGACGGCAACCAGAGGCATCTCCCGGCCAAGTTCCGCAGCCTCCCCCACCCCAGCCGGCCCCTGCGCAAGCTCCCTCCCAGGCCCGCCATTCCCTGAGCCCCACAGGGGAGTACAGATTCCAGTTTTGAAAGAAGTACTTCCAAACCTTTCTCCATGAGGGAAAGGAGGGGGAGGAGTGGAGGGCCTGGGGACAGGACGAGACACGCGATGGATGGTGACCCCCAGGTCCCAGGCTGGGAGGTCTCGGCGCGCCGAGGCGGGCAGGGGCATGCGGCGGAGTCTTGGCAAAGCTGGGTTCTTCTTCGCGCCTTGTTTTGCCGTCGGTGAAATGTGCTTGGTAGTGCCTTTTGCAGGGACGCGGCAGAGTCGAACACCCGCTTGCGGACTCCAAGCCAAACGGCTTCAGGATGGAGTTGGGTGTAGACCACCACTGCGTACTGGCTCGGAGTCGCCCCGCTCCGGAGCCAGGGACAAGACTGCGCAGCGAAGGGCGCAGAGGGGCCTCGGGGCTTCCCCTGTCCCGTCCCGCTGGTGAATGACAAGGGGCGAGATCCTTATCTCAAAGCCGAGCAGCCCGAGTTCTGGCGGGGACCGGGCCTGGATGTAAGTGCTCGGGTACTCAGGGAAGGTGGGAGGGTGGCTGCCGGTGCCGGCGGGGAATGTGGAGGGGGAGGGTCTTTGGGAGACAGGCTGGCGCCACTTGTCAGCGACAAGGTGCCGTTTGCGCCTCGGGCAGGAGGTAACTGGGCCCAGAATAAAACAAAGCCTTTTCCCAAACTCTGAGCAAAGCCCGATGGTGTCATCCTCATTTTACACTGCTTGAACAGAGGCCCAGGACGCCAACAACCAGCTGTGGCCGGAGCCTTCCACTGACGCGGTAGCGCTTGTCCTCGGAATCCTGGAGAACTTCCAGGGCTTTTCATGGGGCTGAGATGAAAATGAGGACCCCTCGGCCCTCCCCCCGGGGAGCCCACTCACTGGTCGAAAGACCAGAGCTGCCTAGGATGCTCAGTGCGGGGCCGTCACTCCCTCCCTCTCAGAATTATACTTAACTTGACACTCAGCCCCGTCCAGTGTCCCCCCCCTGTTTCCTTTCCTGACCCTCCGGTCCCCAAAGCGGACAAAATGCGGACAGCTTCTCTATTCCGGAGTAGGTTCCCGACTCCGAGGTTTCCCACCCTGGAGAGCTCCGTGCTGGCATGGGCAAGGGAGAGGGAGCCGGGCAGCGGAGACCCCGCCTGGGAGGGGTTAACGCGACTCCACCGGGACCTTGCACCCTCTCTCCCAGGAGCCACTTCAATCGGTTGTCGCCCCAGTGGCCGCCTTCTGAGCACGTGTTGCTGCCGGTCTGCGTCAGCGCTGGGTAAACAGATGACTGGCCCAGAGCGCCAGGCGGGGCTATTTAAGAGGCAGCCGCCCTCCCACCTTGAACTTGGCTCTGCTCCCCGGCTGCGCTGGTTGGAACGCGAATCCAGCTGCGTCCTACTCCGAAGGTAGGTTCCGCTCGCTCTCCGGCGGGGAATCCAAGCGTCAAGCGTCCTTGAAGAATGCTGTCTTCAGTTTTGTGCCTCTTCCATTTTATTTTTCTGTTTTCTGTGTCTTCTGTCCGACAGCTTGAAAGACATTTCTTGAAGTCGGAAATCACAGCGAGGGCTGGGTGGGCAGAGCTGTTGAGGGACTTCCACACGCCTGCTTTGCTCTTCTCTTACGCATGCAACGCTGGAATATCTATTTGCTAGAATTAACATGCAAACTGAGATTTTCTAGATGTTACGCAGAGGTGCAGTGTACTTTGCAATCTTTTCAAATAAACTACCAAGAGGTTTTAAGATTTAAATTTGTTTTCTAAATAGTGCCGAAAAATTCAAGGCTTTGGGGATAGAAACGTGCGGGTGTTTTACCTGCTTACGGATCTAAAACGCTGTGGTGCTTTGCCAACGACCGAGGACTGAGCCTATTCCTGGTTTTTTGAAACCCTGCCTGTATTTTGCGTAGTGGCTTATTGCCTTTTCGATGTACACCTTGAGGAAACTTGATAAACATGGCTTTTATTTATTGCTTCCACATTTTAACCTGTACTTCTCTTTTCATCACCGTTTATTTCCCTGTTGAAAGCTTCTTAGCTATCTGGAAAGATGCTACCTTTCAAGGGTCTCATTTCTCCCATGGAGCCTTCTTTTTAGGATATTTTCCACGCTATTTTTAATCTCTTGCTTTCCAGTTAGGAGATGAGAGACGCTCTTCCTGAAAGAAAAGGAAAACAGAAGACATTCCTTCTGCTAAACAGGGCAGAAGACAGGGTCTATGTCCGCCCGCCCGGGCACCGGGTGTGGTTCCCCCAAAAAACAAATGGGGCGCCCCCGGACGCGCGTGCTGTGGCCACTCGGCTCCCGTCAGTGCTTGGCAAGCTCTGCTGCTTGCCGCAGCCTGGCGGGTCTGGAGCTCCGCGCGTTCCGACGGAGCCCCCTTCTCCGTACCCGGGGTGCCCCGACCCTCCGCGAGAGCCTGCGGACGCCCCACCTTTTCGTTCACAGGCCCTGCCTTTGCTCTCCGCAGCCATGAACAGCGGCGCGTGCCTGTGCGTGCTGATGGCGGTGCTGGCGGCGGGCGCCCTGGCGCAGCCTGTGCCTCCGGAGGACGCTGCGGGCCCCGGGGCACAGCAGGAGGAGGCGCCCCGGAGGCAGCTGAGGGCGGTGCAGAGGGTGGACAGCGAGCCCCGCGCACACCTGGGCGCGCTGCTGGCCAGATACATCCAGCAGACCCGGAAAGGTACCGATGCCGCCTCCCCATCCCTCACTTCTGCCCCTGCTCGGTGCTCTCAATCCTGACCCTCTTCTCTAGCGTCCGGCTGACGGAGGTGGGGAACCCCTCGGGAGGAAACACAGGCAACAAGTTAAGCTGAAAAGCTTTTCACTTTCTTCTCCCGAGTTGTACTGCACAGAACAGTGTGCAGTTTTCTGGACGTCCTTTGCAGCAAACTGGGAACCAGTGTGGAGGACTTAATTTATTAAGAGAAATCTTTTTAAAAAGCTTTCTTTAAACTAATTTTGGCATGGTGTTGCTGTTTAAGCTCAACACCATTTAATGAAGACATTAAAAGATAATTACTGAGCAAATTACTGACTGAAAAAGGATTTGCAGATCCACTAAATACCCATTACTGTAAATGCAAAGGAACCGGGAGCCACCCAGATACTGACACTTTGAAACTTTCTAGCAGGACGTGATCAATGCTGAGAATGCTTGAGTCTGACTACAACAGTTTAAAAAGAAGTGACAATGTGTCCGTTTTCACCAAAGTATGTAACAGAAGGAAAGGATCCATAGGAGTTTTTGTGTTCTCCTTGGCAGTGATTTAAAATGATTCCCCAACAAGAGACCTGTTTGTTTTCATTTTGCTCTTGGAGAGAAGGTCCCCACTGCAGCAGGAGCTGAACAAGCCGCAATTTTCTCGGCATCAAAGTCTTTGTCCAGGAATAATGTGATTCAGCAGCTCACTAGCTGAGCAGCATCCAGACAGCCATGTCCCTTTTCTGGGCCTGACTGTCTCATCTGTAAAGAGAAGATGAGGCTAGAGTTCCCCTCGGCCCCTTCTGGCTCTTTGGGTGATGCAGAATGGGGCTCATTAATCCCTAGGGTGCTAGGAATTGTGACTTGGACTGGGGCGGTTTTTTCCTACCAACTTTATCTACAGTGACACTGATGCTGAACACTAGCTGTGGGGCAGTGTGCTAAACTGGACCAACACTGGGGCACAGTAAACCACAGCTAATGCTGCTGGGAGGGTTGAGGGATGGGCTGCTTTCCCAGGAGGATCCCCTGCCCGACTGGTGTGCTAGGGCCTGGGTTTCAACGTGAACTCATGCCCTGACCTGATGGGGAGAAAATGGAGGGCGTGGCTCCTGCGGTTTCATATGAAGGTGAGACTGAGACCTTTTTGACCAGGGGATTGCAGTAGAAAAGAACAGGTGATTTGTTATGTATTTCCTGTCTTTGGATAATTGTCCCAACTACCATCTTTTGTTTTGCTTTCCTGTTAATTAAATTGAAAGAGGTAGAAATGTTAATTGGATGGCAGAGAAAATCTGAAAACTTTTTGGGTACCTGCTAATTGTCTGTCTGAAAGTAATTTAAATATCTGTCCTTGGATGTGGCTGAATTTCAGCCAAACCAGTCTGAAATAGCCGAGGCTTTTCATTGAACCCCCTCCCCTTTCCCTTCAGGAAAGATCCACAAGAAACAGTTCTGGGAAAGAAGTCAGTTACCAAACAATTACTCAGAACTGACACGATGAAGGCTTTATACTACAAATCTTAGCTAGGAGGTTCTTCCCAGCACCTCTTCTCAGCCCCCACGCCCCACCCCCACCTTTAGCCTGTGGTCCCAAACAAACCGGGGTGGGAATAGCAGTGAGCTGGAACTTCAGCTGCCAGCACTCAGGATCAGTGCTCGCTGGAAAACAGTCAGGCTCTTCTATTTGACAAATATGTACCAGGAATGAATATTTACACATATAAATACGATACAGTTTCATGGAATATTTTACATATTTTGAGATCATATCAGATTTTTTTAATCAACTATATTATATATTATGCTTAAAGATTCCAAACGTGGTAATGCCCTCTTTGGGCCGTGCTCAGAGTTTATCGTTAGGAATTGTCTGCAGAGCTTTCAACCATCTGAGGGGAAGCCATTCTGCTGGGGGGCAGGGGGGCGTCTGGTGTAGCAAAGCCCCAGTGCTGCATCTGTATTGTCTCTCTTGGTCCTCACACCGGCACTGCACAATAAGTTCTATTATCCTCACTGTGTCAGTGTGGAAGCTGGGGCTCTAGAAGGGTGGGTAACCTACCAAGGCTGCACATCTAGGCCTCAACAGGGCTGAGAGTCATCAAGCCACTCCCTCCCCAGAGTCAGCCATTCAGCCTCCCAGCTGTACTGCTCATTCTGGGTTTTAAAGTTTAAAGGAGCCAGGCTCTTCAATTCAATTTCATCAGCTGCAAGTCCCTACTCTGTGTCTGCTCTGGGGAAGTGAGTGAGAACCCTGGGCAATGCACACAATGTGAGCGCAGAACAGTGTGTGGAGTGGAGAAATTGAGGTGTGTAACAGACAGAGCCTCTGTGGCTGAACACAGTGCCCCACCAGCAACTGAGGCTGCTTGCGTGTATCGAAGCTGCCCCACTTTCCTGTCATTAGCTGAAACTTTAGGCAGTGCCCCACCCTAAAAGTGGGGATTCGTCACCAGCAGGCAGGAGGCTGGGTCACATTTCCATGTCACCCTGTACAGTAAGTGGGCGTGCTGGTTTTATTGAATGCAAGGACTACTATTTCACCTGAAAGGTGTTGCACAATTAAACAGCAGAGGCTGTTTTTCTTCTGCATAGGCTGGAAAGATCTGCAAAAGGGCTGGGAGGTGCTGGGTTGACTCTTAGTTCCAAGGCTGGGGGTCAGGAAGAGGAAGAAAGGGTGGTGACATTGTCCTGTATAGTTGTTTCTGGTTTTTAACTCAGCCAGCTTTATTCGATTATCCAATAAGACAGAGGAACTGCTTGTGCAGTGTCCTTTATTGATAAATAAGCCATAGCCTGACTCTATGCAGCCTGTGGGCAGGAGTTGGCAAGGGCAGCCTCAGGTAGAAGGGCTCACGAGAGGTGGGAACACAATGGCCCCAATACAATGGTGAGAACCATCGAGGGTCATCCACCCCTCTGCTCTTGAAGCCACCTGAGTTTTGCCCACCGAGGTCCCTGAGGGACCTTTCTTGCCCCTCAGTTTGCACAAGAGAAGACGTTATACTGATTTCATACCCCAGAGGCCATGTCTAGGACTGTGGCCCAGGACAATCACATGCCAAAGAAACCGCCTCTTCACGTCCCTGCTCACTCAGTGTGAATGATACACAAACACCATCCTCCTGAGGACTCAACTCCATCCCAAAGGGCCCATTTTAGGCTCAGTTACTGCATTTTGGTCAAAATGGCTGAATTAAAATGACCCTTTTATCTCCTCTCTGCACCCCCTTCTTTGAGTGTTGCTAATGTGCTAGGATTTCAATCTGACGGTGCACCTTTTTCTCAACATCATTTTTTAAAAAGAAGGTAGCTTTCAAATTAATTTTTAAATGGTATTTATCTAGCAATAAGACTTGCTACCATTTTTAAACACTTTTTTGTATATTTTTCTAACATCAAAATATTGTCATTGCAATACCTAAAGAACAGTCAGGTATGTTGGGGGATTTTAAGGGGTGAACTTTAGAAGTGGGAAGGTACTGGGAAATCCTTGGTTGGCTTCAGCAGAGGGCCAGCTATATAAAGGAATACAGCCCTGGGGGTAGGAAATCCTAGGCACGTCCCAGCTGTGAAAAGCCGGAGTCAGTGAATCCACCTAAATCCTTACAGAAGAAAACCACAGCGATGACTGGCAAATATCACCCTCTCTCCAGTCACACATATGCGGGTCCTTCTCCTCTCTTAGATTTTGGTCCAGCGATCCCCCTCTCTTGATAGCTCCTCGATGCCTGTAAGAAGCTGCATGTTACATATTGTCTGGCTTTTTCCATTGTTCTCCTTTACAAATTGAAATAGTGATGTTCCTAGATATAATGCCCTTTTCTCCTTCCTCCCTGCCCTTTGCAGCTCCTTCTGGCCGAATGTCCCTCGTGAAGAACCTGCAGGGCCTGGACCCCAGCCACAGGATAAGTGACCGGGACTACATGGGCTGGATGGACTTTGGTCGGCGCAGCGCCGAGGAGTATGAATACCCCTCCTAGGGGGCCCACACCGGCTCAGCGCAACAGGCAGCCACCTCCTGACTCAGAGGAGGCAGAATAAGAAAACAATCACACTCATAACTCGTTGTCTCTGAAGTTTGATGTTTGAAGTATCTATTTATTAAGTTCTCAATGTGAAAAATCTGTCTTTAAGATTGTCCGGCTCAACCGTACACCTCAGCAGAATTGTATAAATGGAGACAAAATGTTTCCCTCATCTGTGACTCCTGGTCCTAAAGTGTTGCTATGCGATTAAAGTGATTTCATTCTGCCCCCCTGTTCCCTGTGTCTACCAAGGGCAAAGGGCTCCATTTAGCCCTCGAACATTCCAGGAAGGATATACGGTGCCCAAGGACGAGTCCTTGCGGTAGATGGTCCCAGAGAGAGCTTGAGAAATAAGAGTCAAGCATAGAGCTGACTTCCCTGCTGCAGGCAAGGTGGCCAGGAAAGGGCCTTCTGTGTCAGCTCCACAGCCCAGCCCTGGCCACCCTGGGCCCTGGGCCCTGGGCTCCATTGCAGAGGGAGGACCTGCCCTGCTTGTAGTGAGCACTCGTTTGTCTGGCTTCAGCCCAGAAAGGCAGCTTGGGATGGAGGCTTCCATCCGCCCATCTCCACAGGATGTTCTCCTCTGCCAACCCCATCCCACACCAGGGTTTCCTTGGGGTTCTCTTGGCCTTTCAACAAATTATGGGGCATTCCAGGTCAGCACTTTTGCAGGCATTTGATCTCTCCATGGCACAGAAGTTATTTGTCCTTTTACAGATGAGGAAACAGGCTCTAAGAGGTGAAAATGACAGGCCCACGGTTCCCCAGCTAACGAAATTCACAAACCTGAGGCCTTATTGCTGCTCATAGATTAGTGTGACCTTCATCACTCTAGCACTTCTCAAACTCTGGAGTTCATGTGAGTCACCCGGGGAATCTTGTTGAACTGCACATTCTGATTCAGCAAGTCTGGGCTGGGCCTGAGCAAGCTTCCAGGTGATGTCAAATGCTGCTGGTCCTGGACCACACTTGGAGTTGTGACGGAGTAGAGAAGAGCCTGTGATTACAATCTTTGGCTCCTACTGTATTTCAGAGACAGTGGGCATGTTGGGGTGACCCTGGTAGTTATCCAGTTCTTCTGTTGTGTCTCTGTAGGGATTGGTAAAGGGGGCGAGCCCGAGGGGACACTCAGAGATGATCTAGCACCAGCCACCCACAGTGCAGCCTTTCTGTGCCTCCTGGCTGAGCCTCCAGGAGCCTCAGTTTCTCATCCAGCAAAGGCCCCAGGTGGCCCAGTGCAGTAGGACACGCAGCCTAAAAGGGAAGAGACATTGAAAACAATGTTGGCAAATCTACAACTGGTCTTGGAGGGGCCCCATGGTCACTCATGCTGGACACTCAGTGCCATCTTCCTTGGTGGTGGAAAGAGGATGCCAGGAAAATCCTCAGAGGAAGACTGGGTCTGTGCAATCCTTTAATTTGAGCTGAAGTTAGGATTCAGTGTAAAACTTCAACTCCAGGTGTCGGCCCAGTGGTGCAGCGGTTAGGTTCGCACGTTTCGCTTCTCGGCGACCCGGGGTTCACCGGTTCAGATCCCCGGTGCAGACATGGCACCACTTGGCAAAAGCCATGCTGTGGTAGGTGTCCCACATATAAAGCAGTGGAAGATGGGTGTGGATGTTAGCTCAGGGCCAGTCTTCCTCAGCAAAAAGAGGAGGATTGGCAGCAGTTAGCTCAGGGCTAATCTTCCTCAAAAAACAAAAACCAAAACTTCAACTCCAGGGAGACAACACATTCTGTTGTTCCCTCCTGAGGTTATTACCCCATTCAGTCCTTGCACTTTGATCTCCAAGACTGCTTCATATCTTAGGTGTCTAATCCCCATTCAGTCCAAAATATCCAAATGCCTATGTTTTTAGCATGTGCACACACGTACACCATGCAAAAAATACTATTATTCTGAGTGTGTGTGGGATACTGTGTATATATGGGGATGAGAGTGTGCCTCTGTGAGTGTGTGTGTGTGTATTGTTGGTGTGTTGGGGATGAGGGGTGATGAGGGACTTGGAATTTAATATAAAGTCAGCAGCAGGGAATGGATGATAAAGGTCTGACCTGCATTAGCGATTTATAAGTCATCAGGGAAGTGGATGCTAAAATATCATCTTTGAAGGTAAAGCCGCAACTCATACAAATATAAAATGAACGCGTCAAAGATGTCATTTAACTCATTAATAAAGGGAGTAGTAAGATGTCACTTCATTTCCAAGGAGAATCTGAAAGACAGCCACATCTAGGCAGTCAAGAATGCTAAAATGTTAGCTAATAGACATAAAACTGGTTCATATCTACAGGTCAATAAAATGTAGTGTTTGGAATAATCTGTTATGTATCTTTAGGGGACAATATTCATTGAAGTTTCTATAGACAGAAATTATTTGCATTACTATCAGGTTTCTAGGGCTTACAGACTATAAGTAGCCCAAAGACTCAGATTGTGGCAGCAACAGATAAACGTTCAGCATTCCACTGAAAGGACACCCAGTAATCCCCTTTGCCCACTTCAAAGTCTTTCACAATTTTTCTTAATGCAGGAAAGGGACAGGAAAGAACATTTCCCAGCCTCCTCTTGGGTGCAGGACCCTATCCAAGGAGCCTTGTGAGCATCAGCTCAGGACACTTTCCCAATCCTGGGAGTAATTGTGACCCCGCTTTTCAAGGAGGAAGCTGGAGCTCCGACAGGCTGAGTGACCTGCGGCTGCACTAGGCTCACACGTGGCAGTTCAGCGATTGAAGCAGTTGGTTCCAGAACTTTTTACGAGGTCACTTGGAGCTCCTGTCAGCAGAGAAGGGGCCTGGAGACTTGTTTGGAAGCTGAGTCTATACGAGTGTGACTGAATTAGCATATGTGGTCATTTATGGTGGCTTTGAGGGGACCAAGTGGAGCTTACGGGTGGGAGGGAGCCTAGAGACTTTTCCCTTTCAGTGCCACCACTGGATGCAGGCTGATCTCCTTGTAACTGCAGTGTCCTGTTCTCACTTCTATGCCACTTGCTGTCACAGGGACCCAGGAACCAGGACATATAACCCCCTCTTCCTTAGCCCTTCCTCAGGGATCACAATAGGCTTCTGCAGCTGAGTGAGCGAGTATCACAGAAGAGCCAGCCCTCCTCAACCTCTTCCTTAAAGAGGCCTGAGGACTCACACACAATCAGAAAGCCATGACTCTCCTTTCCTCCTCCTCTCTCCCACCTTTACTCCCCTCTCAGTCCTCTCCCCACTTCATCTAGTCCTCTTCAACCCCCCTCCCCTCCCTCATACCCCTCTTCTTTGCCAGCTGCCCCTCTCGAATCTCTCTAGCTTGCAGAACCTCCACCCTAGGCCATGTCCTCCTGTAGATAGTCCTGCGTTTGCACTCTCAGCTCTGCTAATTAAGGCCACTCTTAAGGTTCCTTTTTGTTGATTCATTGGAATTTAAAAGTTGAAAAGTCCAATAGCTATCATTCTAGCCCAACACACACCCTACCCTACCCCTACTCCCATTTTAGAGATAATAAACTTGCTCAAGGTAACACAGTGAATTAGTGATGGAACCTGCAGCCTCTCTGGAATCAACTCCTTGCCAGGCTGAGACATAAAGAACTTGCCTGGTGGTCCCTGAACTTGCTGATACCTCTGGGCTCTGATTTAAGAGGCCTGGCCTGCTCTGATGGTAAGTACTCAAGTCGCAAGATGGCCAGCAGCCACAGGGTGCACAGAATTCACTTTCCCAAGATTTACTTTACCAAAACCTAACTAACACATCTCTCTTGTAAAGTGAGGAAATCTTTACACAAGACTCCCAACCTATGGAACACAAATGGCATCTTTGTTCTCAGTCTCAGCCAATCACAGTTAAAAGGAAAGTGAGGATGGAACAAAGATGCTGTATGTTCATTTTTTTAACAAAAAATGACACAAAACACCATTTTTTTTCTTGTCTCAGGTTTGAAGAGCCAAAGGAAAGAATCTTGACCACTTAGCTAGTAGAGTTCAAGGTACTTTGAGTATTTTTTTTTTCAGTATCTTCAAATTTTTGCTAGTCCTGAAGATAAATAAAGCAGAAGCCAAGCAAAAAGAGACAAAATCATTGCTTGCTAATCTCCCCTGGGCTCCGCATTCTGAAAGCATTTATTAAACCAATCTGTTGGTGTCTATCTCCTGCTCTGAGTTGTCCTCCCAAAGAACCAGGATCTACAGGACATTATCCTTCTGCCTGAAGAACTTTATCAATTCTTTTACAGCAGGTCTACTGCTATGAAGTCTCTTAGTTTTCCTTTATCTGAGAATGTCTTTAATTCATCTTCATTCCTGAAGGATATTTTCATTGGATTTAGAATTCTAGGTTGACAGTTCTTTTCTTTTACTTTTAAAATGTGATACCATTTCCTATGGCCTCCATGGTTTCTGATGAGAAGTCTGCAGTCATTCAAATCATTGTTCCTCTATAGAGAACAAGTCATTTGTCTCTCTGGTGTCTTTCAAGATATTTTCTTTGTCTTTAGCCTTCAGTAGTTTGATTATGCTGTGCTTGGGTGTGGATTTCTTTCAGTTTATCCTGTTTGGGGCTTCTTCAGCTTCTTGAATCAGTAAGTTTATGTCTTTCACCAAACTTGTGAAGTTTTCAATTATTATTTCTTCAAATATTTTTTCAGCATTACACTCTTTCTTCTCTCCTGGGATTCTGATGACACAAATGTTAGACCTTTTGCTGTTGTCCCACACGTCTCAGAAGCTTTGTTCATCTTTTTCTGTCTGTGCTTTACAATGGATAATTTCTATTTATCTTCTAGTTTACTGACTCTTTCTCTGTCATTTTCATTCTGTTAATGAGTCCCTCCAGTGAGTTTCTTTTTTTTTTTTAAGATTGGCCCTGAGCTAACATCTGTTGACAAACTTTTTTTTCTTCTTCTCCCCAAAGCCCCACAGTACATAGTTGTCTATTCTAGTTGTAGGTCCTTCTATTTCTGCTATGTAGGACGCCACCTCAGCATGGCTTCATGAGCAGTGCTAGGTCCTTGCCCAGGATCCGAAGTGGCAAAATTCTGGGCTGCCAAAGTGGAGTACATGAACTTAACCACTCGGCCATGGGGCCAGCCCCCAGTGAGTTTCTTAGTATGGTCTTTGTATTTCTCAGTTCTAAAATTTCCATTTATATCTTCTATTTCTTTGCTAAGATTTTCTGTTTTAACATTTGTTTCAAGGATGTTTGCAATTGCCCATTTGAAATCTTTTGTAATAGCTGCCTT